TTTCATGAATTTAAAAAGCCAAACTGAATTTCAACATTCAAACCACATTCTTGTTGAGAAGTGCTTTTAACAATAAAAACAAAGCTTTACTAATTTATTTATTTTAGATTATGGCAAGATATCTGTTATGACTTTAATGGTATTACAGTACTTTTTCACTGTAGAGGTTTTAGTTGTTCAAAGTGTGCTTTCTTCTGAAATGCAGCCCACAGAAATTACTCTCATAGGGGTTTTATTCCTTCATCTTGAGGAATATAAATTTAGATTCTATTACTAATTGCTTCCTTGTAATCAAGGAGTTGACATCTGGGGATTTTGTAATCCTCAGGCTGCATTAAACAGAAGGATAGCTCTAATGCAGTTTATTGAAAGAGTAAGTTAACACAGACCTTCATACAAGTTTGACTTGAAAGGAAATTCTGACTTGTTACTGTTTTTTTCTTCGCAGTCATCTTAATATTAAATAAAATATAATTTAGAACTTTTTTTTTTCATTAACAGCATGCTATATTAATTGTAGGAGAGTTGACACATTTTATAATAATGAATTTTGGAATTATGCAAAATGTAGAGTTGTACACTGAAGTAAATTGATATTGCAATTTTTTTAATATATTATACATACGCAAAACTTTTTGTTAGAACAAGTCAGGTCTTGGAGGCTGTTACAGAAGTAGACAAATATAAATAGAAGAAAATTTAAATAGAAATTGCACTGACTCTGGTTAAGGTGATCATTAAGAACAACCAATATCATCAGAAGTAGAAAGAGGATGCAGAATGGTGATTCCAGTTGTTCCTACAACCCAAATTTACCAGGTATAGTTGTAGATGAATTTGAAACCTTCCCTAAAGGGTCCTTAGATGAACTTACTGTCTTCTAGGTATTACTAGGATTCTGCTGTTGGCTTCTCTTAACTGTACTAAATACTCTAACTTAATGTAAAATAGTATCAGAGTCTGAAAGTAAGCTGTGCTAATTCAACAAGGCACAAACAGGTATGCTACTGTGGGTATGCTACCCAGTAAGATAATTCAATTTTATTTTAAAAAATTAATTTCTTAATTAAATGTTTTTCTGCATGTTTCACTGAGGAATCCATACTCTACCTTCAAAATGTACAATATGAAGAGGACCTACCTGACACAAATAATTTGTGACACAAATCATTAGCTGAAGAAAGGAAGTATAATAGTACCTACTGTTGTCTCCTTCAGATGATAAAGCAAATTATTTTGATCTCCAGATCCTTTAGAGAGTCACCTTCCGTTTAATTTAAGCATAAATATTTGCAAAGGAATACAAACAAAATCTCTGTGAGTTTCTGACATGGATATGAAGGAAGCAGACTCCTGCTCCACCTTCCAAAACAGTGTTTCTGTAGCAAGGATGCTAGACAAGAGGCAGTCATTATCTCTTTACATTAAATATTAACTATAACTTTTGTACTCATTATTACAGTATGCTGTAATGGAACTACATCCAGGAGCATGTTATATATTGTTCTTGACCAGGCTTTCAATTACCATAGGATTTGACATCAGTAAAAAGTCTGATAACGAATCAGAAGAACTTCATGACAGAAGTGTTCATTTATTTTTCATTCTCATCAGTTTTAAAACACTAAATATAGAAAATTACAGTCAATAAACAGTTAGGCAAGTATCATTAGGTAGAACTTACCATAATCTCCTTCTACATCTATTACAACAAATAACAGGATAGGTCAAAGAATGTATAAATGAATAAATAAATGAATGTATAAATGAATGAATAAAAAATAAAAATGTTTTGATAACAAGCTTTCACAAACTACTGTTTAAAAGGCTAACACATCTATAAGATGTTACATAAAGAAAGTAAAATGCTGCAAGAAACCATTTGTATTTTTTGGACATTTCTCTATGAGATATGTAGGTTTTTCAAGAAAGATGCTTCATTATTTTTCCAAGAAAACTGTATCTAAAGAAAGGTATCTCAGAGGCTTTGCACCTATAGAATTAAGATTAAAAAGAGGAAAAATAAGTTCCTGAAAAAACAATTCCTAGAAATGGGTTGTAAGAGAGACAGCATGTGACTAAAAGAAACATCCTCAGTCAGAGTTTTGTCATTGTATGCATACATCACATGGCACACCCATACATCTGTTATATTTATAAAATAACACATAAAACCAGTTCAGATTTCTTGCTTATATTTTTTTCTATTAAAAAGGCTGTCTTGTATAGTTGTTTCTTGGATTGTTTGAAATCTAGTTGCTAATCTAATTTCCCATTCAGTGCACACACAACTCTTTAGCTCAAGAATCTCCTTCCTGCCTCTACTTGCACCTCTTACATAGCTGTAGGCTATATTCCTTTCAATTCATTGGAACAGGCTTGTTACAAACTTAAATAGGTTCTCCAGACCCTGAACATCCTGACAGTAAATGTTTTCTACAACTGTTTGCATCTGTCAAATTCATTTTTCTGGATGACGGATGACCAGACCTGTTTTGTATGTTAACATTTGCAATGTAACAAAATGTGAAAAATGCTAATCCATTGCTCTGGAATCACTCCCCATGTTCAAATTATGGATATCAAAGAATCACTTTTTCCCTTCACAATATGTCATACTTGCACATATGCTGTGAATAGGAGTTCTGCTTGCTTTTTTTTTTTTTTTTTTTTTTTTTTTTTTAATAAATAAAGGTGTGTAAAACCCACAGACAGATAAACAGCTGAAATATAAACAGAAATGAGAAAGGAGGTAAAAGACTGGCATTCTGGTTCAATAACCTGTGATTGTAGTAAAAGTAAGAGTGCACTTGTGATCACAAGGTGTAAAGAACATTTCAATTGCAGCTTCAAGGTGTTTCAAATGGTGTGAAGTTTAAAGAACTCCTTGGTATAGGTTATGGGTGAGTATGCACTGCTATCTAGGGAAAAATATGAGCATGTAACTTCACTGCTCAGCTGAGAAGAAATCATGTATCATACGAAATACACTATAATTCCAGAGACACTTTATATATTTTGAGCAAGAGATGCTTTGTGGATTCAAGCATTTAAGACATATTCTCTGTAAGATCTTCGCATGAGGGTCAAATAGAGACTCTAAACCTGTTGTATGAGAACTGTTTGCCTGTGCCTGTATTTTCTGCATTGTGAACGACAAGAATTTGGGTGCTAGACTGGATGACCTCTAGATGTCCCCTTCTACCTAAACCACTCTGCCATCTCTGAACTACTCCAATGCCCAGAAAATATGAGCGCACCTGAGGCCATCCCTGAGCTGTAGCACAGCAGGACAGGGTGGATATCCCACAGCCATTTGGACCATTTTTTGTACCCTCGGGATGCCAGAGATCCCTTCAACATTCCTCTCCTGATGTGCTCCCTCGCCACATCCCTCAATGCTCAGTCGCACTTAGATTGCACCTACAGAAACCCTGCACACCTTGCCTACTGCATTAAGGTGACATGAGAAGGTTGACTTATATTACAGACAAGTGAATAATCTGAAATTGATTATTGAATGCATTCAGTTTATTTGTTTAATCTAGCACCCCTGAAATCTAGGGTGGTGAGGGAGGGTGGAACCAACTCAAATCAAAGCTTTTTGCAGTAAAAGGATCATGAAATTCTGCAATTTTCAACATTATAAAATCACCTGGGAGTTTCTTTGCTAAATAATTCTCAGACTGGAAAGTATTCACACAAATATATAGGACAGAATGCTTTCTTTATGTTTATAGAGAGTTTTGGCTCTCCATTATGGCTAGTGTCCAACCCCCCCCTCCCGCCCCCCTCCCCCTCCCCCCCCCCCCCCCCCCCCGTGGTTTCTTCTGCACTAAATGCACTAAATACAATATTTATTTCCTTTAAAACTAACTCTTGGCAAATTTTTAAATTTGAAGGTGAATTTCCCTCCTTCCCTCAAGGAAGAAATTATGCAAACAACAGAACCCATGCACCAGAATTAATAGTTATTCAGTGTTCTCCCCACTCCACACCTTATTACCTGCAAGTTAATTATGCTAGCAACCACACTGCTTTGGGACCCACCAGCACCTGGGTTCAGAGCAAGTACTGAGTTTCTGATTGCTCCAAGTACGGTGGAGAATGAACTCTCTTCTCCCTGGTACCCATTTGATAACCACCAGAAGCTGTCTCTTTCCAAACATCCCTGTGATCTTTCTCTCTGAGGTTTTGTCTCTTTATGCCAGTCTTTTATGAATGAAAGCGCCTAAATAATAGGAACTGAATTCAGATCAGCAACATTGGTAGCTACAAAGTCCATATTGTAGTAACATCAAAACCAAAATTATTTAAAGCATTTCTAGCAAGGGCTTTATTCACTAATTAAATGGATGCTGCTGAATTGCACTGCTTCTTCCTATGAACAATGCATGCACATATGCATAAATAGTAATCTAAGATTACAGGTGGGCTTTTGGTAAGATAAATACATGCAAAACCCTCACTCCTCACTATCCTAATATCAATAGAATAAGAACAGAGGTATTTCTCTAAGACCATTTCTCTCATTAAAAGACAGGACAATATAATTTCTCTTTCATTAATTTTCTAAAACAGGAAATTTATTTTTAGTGACCAGCCCTGTAAAGCTCCTGTCTTGCCAATTAATGAACTCCTCCGCTGAGCCATCAAAATTAAAGCCAACTCACTTGTCAACAGTGGGCACCTGTCATTTTTTCATGTAGCAGATAATACATGGATTCCAGCCCAGTCTGTTATAGATATTCCACGATATTCGATATTCCACTTGTACATTGTCCCATAGATCTGTAAGAAGTTATCTTTTTTTTTTTTTTTTTTTTTTTTTTTTTTTTTTTTTTTTTTACTAAAGTTATCTTCTTACTGAGAGAGACTGTACAATCTAACAAATTCAAATGATGTGAAATCTGGGTCTAAAGTCTAGCAAATCTCTCCTCTTTGATTCATGCATATATCAAGAAAAAACCAGTGCTAATCCATATGCCTCTTACCTGTGACAGAGTTTTAAGTTGATCTGTACACCAGCTAATTCTTTATATGTTATATGTTTCCCTCAGAGGCTCTTAACTCAGATGGCTGCTGTGTGCTCAGATGTCCTCATTAAGGGTTACAGAGGCACTGTGAAACCTATGCAACAACCTCCATCCAGTAATTTGAAAACAGCCATTCAATCTATTAAAAAAATAAAAAATAAAAAATCAAACTTTACCAATCATTTACTGAGGCCAAAGGGTTTTATTACAAGATTTAAGAGTTCAAAGAAAAAAAAGATTTGCCTAGCCTGCAGGTTAGGGGACTGGACTGGCCTTGGAGAGACTGAAGATCCAGTCTCTATGCATAATTCAGAGAAATCTATATCAAGCCCGCTATTTTAGCTCAGTCAAGCAAGACTCAAATCTTTACTTCCCACATCCCAGAACACTGTCCTAATTATCTGTGAACATACAGAAAACAGGGTTTTGATCCAAAGTGTCATATATCAACTCCACATCTACATTAAAAAAAATTTTTTTTTAAACAATAACATTACCTCAAAACAAGATTGTCATTAAATGGAATTGACCTCTGTTAAACTCATATTCTGATGGATTATTGATTTTTTGAGGTTAAAGAGCATCTGAATGTCTACAGTAGAGAGGGAATGAAGCCATAATATAAGAAATAAAACTTACTTTGTATTCCTTTTTCATCTGGCTAATCGATGAAAGCCAAATTTCACGCTAATCAGCCCAAGCAGTTAGCAGGCTATATGGAAATTTAAAATGTCTGCTGATTGAATAAGGATTTAAAAAACAAACAAACGAAAAACAATATTTGTGGTGATTACCAAAACAATATTTGTGGTGATTACTCTAGACACAAATATTGCACTAAAACATGTGCTTCATACAAATTTCAGTGATGATGACAGTAGAGATCACTGAGTTTTTGGCAACAAGAATCATTTCCCAGTGTATTCTTTGTAGAACACATTGGATACCTGCAGATGATTTTTTTCTGCTCAGGCTCTCTAGCTTTAGTCACTAGATATTATAAATGCAACAAAAATACAGAAAATACCAAGGGGGTGGGGGGGGTGGGGGGGTGGGGGGGGAGGAGGGGAAATCTAAAAATGCTAAGGTAAACAAACAAAAAATGCAAAAGATACAAAACCAACAAAAACCCAGGTGGCAACAGAATTAATCAGAGGCTATCTGATAAATTCCATGTCTGCTTGAGAAACAATGTCCAGAAACCTCATTCCAGATAAATTTTCCGTATAGAGGAACTTAATAAAATATTCAATGATGAATTCATGTGCAGACACAAATATTTTCCTTATGTCACTAAGAAACATGCACGTGCATATATTCCTCCCCAATTAAAATAGTATTAAGAAATTACAGCCTAGATATTTTGCATATTTTTTGTAGTTACTGAAATTGGAAGTGGGCACATTTCTCAGTAGTTTTGCAGCATTTTGCTTTACAGCACTTGTTGTTATTGTCAGCTCAGTTCAGGGAAGTCCTATTATCAAGTAAACACTTCTATGAACAATGAAATAGTAGCATCACTATCTGTATCATGAGTAAATACTGTAGGGTAGGATACTTCTGCGATTACAGTATAAGGGTATGGGAATGGAGCTTAAAATTTTTTTGTAGCTACTCCCAAGTTATGCAGATAATTAGACAATACTGAGTAAATTTTGCATTCTTATCCACATGCATGCTGCAGAGTCTTTTCCTTGCTGCTATTCCTTGATGTTTTAGGTAAGTTACTTAGTAACTCTATTTCTTTAGTTAGACAGTCTCTCCTAACTTACGAAGACTGATTTATGGGTACTATTGAGGTTGTTCTAAAGTTCAAGAAGAAAGCGAACAATGAACATCTGTAATGCTAACAAGTATGTTACAAGCAGATAGAGTAATATTTGTGTATGGTTTACATTATAACCTTTCCCTTTATTACAGAAAGCAACCACTGAAAAAAGAATCCTGGCAAGACATGCTTTAGAGGCACAGATCAGCAAACCAATTATCAATCCATCAATTGATCAGAGCTAGTCTTGGGAGCAGTTTGCTCTTGGAAATGAAGTCTATGCAGATGGTATACATGTTCATGACTTGCAGAGCATCTGCACAGAATGGATAATTAGACATAAGTAGAAGACAAGAACAGAGCAACTAACTCAAAGAAAACTATAGCAGGTAAATGTATAGAGAATTAAATGATTTACTGTCCATGTGCTGAGGTTGTAATATTTAATTTCAAATATACTTATTTTTAATATTTGATATTAGATGAGACTTTTGACCTAGCAGAGTGATTCAAAATGTATTGAAATGATGATACAAGTTTAAGTAACACTTAGCAAAATATAGCAATTGCAATACACAGTTCAATCACAATTCCATCGTCATCCCCATTACTGGTCTCCACAATATGCTCACCATCGTGACATTGGTTGTCTCCAGTCAACTGGAAAGAATATATGGGTCGAAAACAGATCAGACCTGTTGCTCTCTTTGATATTACTTCATAAGTTGTTTAGTTTTTATACTCTGTGTTGGGCTGAGCCACATATACAATCTCAGTGAGTGGTCTGGCTAACTCAGGGAGAAACATTTATACCACCATTTGATCCACTGAACTGCGATACAGACAGTTGATCCACTCAACTGACATAGCTGTTTATCTAAATCAAAGTCCACCATCTGGTCCCCTTTGTATTGATACAAAGTCAGCTTTCTTTGCAATAGCTGTGGTCAGCCAAGGCTAGCTTTATTCCCTGAGTTTTGTGGGCACATTGCCCTTGCCCATCTCCTCTGAGCTTTTTCCAGTTGTAGGGTTTTATTGGTCAGTCACAGATGTATAGTTTGCATTCATTTTACCTACAGTTTGAGAAAGTAGGAACGCTTGCATCCATTGGTCAGTCTCAGGACTCAAACCAATTTTAAATCAGAACAGTAAATGAAGTGATGTACATTAGCACTAATTTAAACCAATTGGGTTTCACTCTGAGTAAAAGGCGACTCTTATATTTACTAAAGAACAATGGCTCAATTGTTCAAGTCTTTTTCATGGGGAAAGAGCATACAAAATTCAAAACTCAGATAATACAAGAAGAAAATTCAAGTTAAGGTATGAAAATAGCTAGCTGAGATGCTGACCCACCTTTTCTCTTTGTAGTTGCATGATAGAAACAATTAAACAAGGCCTAGTTGTTTGAAGGTTTATCAGCCTGCAGAGGAATATTTTATATTAAAACTTTCTCCTTAATTTTCCATATTGCTAGTCTTTTTCTACATGTTATAAATGTTGGATTTTTCTTTACAAGTGGCTTTACATCTCAGTTTAGTAGTAATGATTGTCTGTGGCATAACTGCAACGTCCTTGGTATTTAAATTCTAAAAATAACCCAATTTAACCAAATTCAGTCTGGCTATTTAATTATCTGAGTAAAAGTTGAAACCATCTACAAGCACTAAATAAGACTCTCCCGGAAGGTGGTATTTCCAGACAGATGGTATCATTCTCAAGCAAGGGCAAGATGCCACCCTCCCAGACTGTAAGCGAGATCACCTCATTCTTTGGTTTGGCAGCCTCACCCGATGCTGAGCGCACACATTGGATGCTCCCAGTTCTGGCAGGGAACAACCAACTCTGCTGTTCCCTGGGGCAGGGAAGACCTGCCCTGCAGCAGAGTGAGCCCAGCAATGGATCTGCACCTCACCACCATGCCAGGACTGCCCGCATGGATGGTGCATACCTCTCCAGGGTGGTCACCAGCCTGTCAGGTTAAAGTAGCTTCTACCATCCAGCCACATTCTCAAAGTAGTGACTTCCTAAGGATCTCCATGCAATATGTAAGTGGTGCAGAAGACTCAGTGACTGACATCTCCTCATCCTGCTAAACCAGGGCAGATCATGTACCCCAAGGGGTACCAACAAGTTAAGCTAGGACCAACACCATTTTGATCTTATTTGTAATACACTTACTAGATGATGAGACATGCCTTTTTTTTTTTCTTCTTTTTTTTTTTTTAATCTTTTTGAGGTGATGAAAATAAAGTAATATGGAGATTTGGACAAAAAAAAAAAAGAAAAAAAAAAGAAAAAAAAAGTCTTCAAGTCCCTAGGACATGAAGATCCAGTAATGTCTGGACTCCTGCCCACTTGTTCCAGTAGCCATCAGGACCATGACAGAAGTGCTTTTTCCAGCCCTAATGAGAAGAAACCATGCAGCCAAGCACACTGTAGGAAAGGGTAGGCTGTGCAATCTATTGCTATAGGTCCCAGGCACACCATTACCTGCTCTCTGCATACAGACTCACTGCCACCATTGCAGCTGGTGCATATAAATTGTGCACATAAGTATAAGCATGGCAGAATAGAAGTGATTATTCCAGTTATCCCTGAGCTTGCAAAGGCCCAGATTTAAAAATAACAAAGGTATTGTTTTGACCCTTCCCATAGCCTATAAAAATCTTCTACAATTGCCAGTAACTTATCTTAATTAGCAAATAATGATTTTCATTGTAGTCTATTCACAAGACTTTAATTTCATCTACATAGGAAGTGCAGTGTTTGTTAATCCTTCTGGAAAATCATACAGGACAAAGGAGGGACTGACACACATGCTAGATTTCTTTAAAGATTCTAGTTTTAAATTAATTTCTACACAGACTAATTAACAGATTTACTTACAAATTGCCATAAAATTCATCACACATTCTGTGTAAGTTTTTGCATGTACATTATGATATTTCTCTTTCACAAGTGGCTGAACACTGTTCTTTGCAAAAATGCACGTAATTTATAAGCAATTGGTCCCTCCTTGATTTAAAACTCTAAAAACACTCTAAAAAAGCCCATTCACTAGCTAATTTCTTCCTATATTCACATTTTCTTCTGTAATATGACATTGAAAGTGTTTTCTGATATATATACAACATTAAAAACAAGCCAATTAAGTCTGCAACCATTCTCTAATCATGACTGTAATTTATTTTCTGCTAAATTTACCCCTTCTGGTATAGCAATTTGAAAAGATGCTTAACTCTCTTGGACATGACTGCCATTTTTATGACTTCCTAACGCCCATTTTCTAACAAAGATTATTACATGTGCTTGAGTACTTTTGAGCACTTCATTAGGCATCTAAAGGGTCATTGGGGCCTTCACATTGT